AAGGCTGGCTGTGGCGTGTACCACGCGATAAAGATGGGCTGGGTCGGTATTGGGAAACGCCGGGTCGGTGGTTCAAGCCGGATGGTACAAAGGCTGACCACGTTCTTACCAACACTGAAATAAGGCAGGTACTAAACGGAGTAATCGAGGAAATAAGGGAGTTTGAGGCGCAAAGCAAGTAGCTGTTCGTTAAAGAAACCAAAGGTTAAAGAAAGTCGTAGCATGAACACTGACAACTCTACCACTACTATTACTACTACTCCTGAGATAGCGGGCAACCCTGCCATCGGGCTAAAGACTAGAACAAAAGATTACATTTCCCCTGCTGACAGTAATGTTTTCGCCGGGTCTATCACCACTCCTACCGATGCGCCAGAGATGGTGATAAGCGCTAGTGGCGATGGCAGTAGTAGCAGTCCTAACAATCAAACTAAAGACCAAACCAAAAAGGAAGCAAGGGAGAAGGAACGGGCGCGCAAAGAGTTTCAACAGCTTTTAACCAGGCCACCTGTGCCGGTCATCATCCGGCTACTAGAGCAGGCTCAAACCTATACCAGCCCTTACCGCCAGATGAGCGATATATTTGACCGCTTCCTCGAAATAGCCCTCTTTTGCCTGGACGGGCGTGGTCGGCTAATCGAGGATAGTTGGGAAAAATTAAGAGCTAATCCTGAACTGGCGGCGCAAGTAGACCCCGGCCAGCATACCTTCCTTTTGATGCACTACCACCGGCGGATTAGCGACTGGCACAAGTTGATTCGTGGTTTCTCCGAAAAAAGCTTAGGCTTTTTGACCCAGGCGCTAACTGTGCTGGTTTATCAGGCTCAGGTGCATCAAGACTACCGAGACTATATCGGTGCAGTCTACATGCAGTTGGGGCAGGCAAATAAGTGGGCCGGACAGTTCTTTACCCCCTGGGAAGTGGCTTACGTGACGAGCCAAATGACGCTAGTAGACGTGACCGAGCGGCCTCAAGAGAAACCGCTCTCGATAAATGACCCGGCCTGTGGGAGTGGAGTAATGCTTATGGCAGCAGCAGCCGTTGTCGCGGCGAATAATCCGGCCCTCATAGAGCGTGGCCTGCTCGAATTATATGGGCAGGATATTGACCACACCTGTGTACTGATGGCCCAACTTAACATGCGCTTGCACGGGCTGGATAGCTGGACTATTTGCCTAAAACGTGAGGCTTGGCGGCTACAACAAGCCCCGGCGCAAGCCGCCAGCACGCCACTATCGCCACCTGCGGCACTCCAAGCCGGAACTGAGACGGTTAAGCTGTATAGCGAACTAACTGAGGCCGAGCGGCGGCGTATTGAGAATACCACCGGGCAGAGCGTGGCTGAACTCCAAGCCCAGCTTCGCCAGACCCGCCAACTGACCCTCGAAGGCTTTGAGTTGCCGCTAAATCAGCCGCCGCAACCAGCTAGGAGATTAACCAAGACCAACCAACCTACCAGGGCTAAAAATAAAACCAGACCAGCCGGTCAACTTTTTGAGTAGATTAGCGTAGTTTAGTTTAGAGAAAGGTCGCCGCCGCATGAGTGACATTCCTACCGCAATCGGACTGAGCAAAGCGCCTGGTAGAGTGGGGCCACTCTACCAAAATCATCCGCTTGTCCAGAAGTTCTATCACGATTTCAGGGAAGCGGCCTACCAGCTTCTAAAGCAAGAAGGCGATGCCGCACCCTATAGTTTATCTCTTTATTGGGTAGCCGAACTCAAGAAGCTGGCCCACTCCCACCTTCCTTATGAGGGTAGTGATTTCTTTCTCCGGCGACTGCCACAATTTGCCGAGCGGTTCAATGTGCTGGGTCAAACCGTAGCCGAAGCGGTAAGCCAGGAGAAGCACCAATTTATCGAAAAGCTACTGGACGAAAAGCAAGCGAACGGGATAGCCTGTTACGTTAGCTGCGACTATGTGTTTGAGTTTGGCGGTGCTGTTTTGAAAGAATTGGCAAGCGCACTCGACCAGGCACTCGACCAAGAAGCTGCCACCGGCCAGGAGCTTTCCTTTGAGCAAAAGGAGCGGTTAGGCCAGCTTGAGGAAGATAAGCCAGGTGTAGCCGGGTCTAAATCAATGCTAGAATATGACAACGGTAGCCAGTGCCGCCTTTGTCGGGGCGAGGTGTACTCGCCGGAGTGGGCCGATTGCTCCAGCCGGGA